TGTTTGATTATGCTTGAATATGGTTGGCTATGTTTTGCGCTTCTTTCCAAATCCGCATGTAGGAGGACATGCCCGACCTAACCCTGGCCGGGACTGACTTTCATGCGGGTCCCAAGAGTATACTCAGAGAAGGGAAAGTGATCGTATGTTTGCTCATTGTCTTGCCGATGTGCGCGGGCCCTCGCGCACACCCCCCACGTGGAGTAATTACATCTCGGCTGTTTTCGGCGTCTCCCGTTTCAAGCAGGTGGAGTCTCCCTCGTCGCCACTGCTGGATTCGCATCGGGATCATGGCCAGAACGCACCCTGGGAGAGGTTTGGGTAGTACAGTCAGCCCGCATATTAAGGATGGGCTACCTTCCCAAGGGTACCATTGCATCCTTGCCCCTTCGGTCCATCCTTGGCGACTCTCGCTGGCCAACCTCGTTCGAACAGCGCCAACGTGGCCTTCCAAGGCCCCTGCATCCTCACCGCGCATCCTTCTGGTACGGATCGACCGTAGCGGCACCAGTACCTTTTGGGTTCCCCAGGCTCGGTCCGATCGAGCCGATCCAATACCCGTCTCGGCCGGCCTCCGGGGGCCCTCGCTCCGGGCCCCCAGGGGCCGTCAGTCAGCGGCTCGGAGTGGAAAGCGGGTCCCAGGGAGAAGGTCGGGACCCCGGGAGTCCACGTGAGCAGATCACCACGGCACAGGTCTGGGCGGAGCAGGTTGGGTCGCAGGTCAAGGACAAAAAAGCGCCACAAACATAACCTGTCGGCGCTCCGGATCTCTTGGATCCGCGCTGGGCCCCCCCGGCGGCGCCTCTAGCGCCGCCTTTGTCGCGCTGCGCGCGCCAAGGGGGGGGGCCCAGGGCATATCCAAGAAATCCGCGCGGCGCGCCAAAAGTTTCTGTTTATGCAGTTCTTAATTTCTTACAGTAGGATCGCGTCGCATCACCGATGCATGTGCGATGCGGCCCGATCTGGAGTCCAATGTCCCCCCTCCCACTGTATCGCCGCTGCATCGGCGATGCTCAGAGGAGGAAGAGGTACCCATACCACTACACGTTGCCAGTTCACCCTCCTTTTTCGGCCTCTTGTGAGGCCCTCGTCGCCACCGCTGCATTCGCCTCGAAGTCCTGCTCAGAACGCACCCCAAAAGAGGTCCATGGAGTAGCGGTATCAGTACCTTCTTGTTTCCCCAGATTTGATTCCAATATTCCGACGCTCCGATGCTGCCCGATGGTCGCGTGGTTTTGTTGTGGATTTTGACGCAGCCGATCCGATTTGATGTCGATTCCGTGGTCGATGCGGCCCGATCCGACGTACATTCCGATCCTATCCGCTTAGCCGATTCGATGCTGACTGATCTTGCCCTGGCGTGTTGCCAAGGCCAGGCTGTCCCGCTGTCCTCAATGAACATACGAGTGCGGACGCTTGTTGACAGTGTTCGTCCTCCGGGGACGTCACCTTGCCCCAGGGTCGTACAGTTAATCCGCTTGGTAAGGGTGAGCGACTTTCCAAGGTTACCCTTGCATCCTTCCCCTTCGGCCCATCCTTGACCGCTTTCGCTAGCCGCACCCCGCCCGCACAGTATCGACATGGCCTTCCAAGGTCCTAGTATCCTTACAGTGGAAACCCGCCCAGAAACAGCTTGCTTACCTCTAGGGTACCCTGGGTTTCTTGGGTTTCGATAGTTTTGCTCTGGAGACCGTGATGCTCCCACGCAAAAAAACAGTGGCCGTCCTGGGGTCTCAGGGTTGGGTTTCTTGTGGAAGGTATCTTGTGGTCGAGCTCCTGCATCGTGCGTCCTTGTGATACGGGTTGACTGTAAGAAAGACGCAGGCCTAGAGGTTGACACCAACACCAATATCGGCGGTGCGCCTCCACCGAGGGAAGAAGCTCCCGATCTCAGCGATTGTGGTAATATTATGACGTCCACGGTGACCGAAATAGTACCACCAATTGCGAAACCTGGGACCATCCTACCCCTGTGGAGGCAACCCCCTATGCTGGTGTTGGTGCCCATTTCCAGGCCTCCAATGAAAACACCACCCGGGAAGAAAAGACGACCCCGGGGAGGAGGAGGAGGAGGAGGAGGAGGAGGAGGTGCGGACCTCCCCTTGCGGGTGGCACACCAAGACCACCTCAGCCGCCGCCGGGGAGAGGGCGGCCCGAATGGAGCTCTGGCTCAGGCGGGGGTGTGCAGGCAGGCTGAGCAGCGCCACGGGAGCAGGAACAGGAGGAGGAGGACCGGAGGAGGCAGAGGAGAAGGACGAGGAGGAGGCAGAGGAGGAGGAGGAGGAGGAGGAGGAGGAGGAGGAGGAGGAGGAGTGGGTGCAGACTGAGCTCCTGTGTGTCCGCTTGCGGATACGTGGGGGCTAGGCCGTCGCCTCCTTCGGCGAGTCACCTCCCCTGCTCCCCCCCCCTTTCTCTCCCTTCGCTGCTGCTTGCTGACGAGCCGCACGCGAGGTCACACACGGCCTTCTCGGCCATGCTTCTCGATACGCTCGAGCCTCTTGCCTTTACGTCCAGCCTCCGTCAGATTGCTTCATTGTTTTCCAGGCGGTGTGGTTTGGATCGCTTAGGTGGAAGGTTGGGGACGAGTGATTCCCGCAGCAAGCCGCAGTAGCACATCTTGCTCCTGATTATTTGAAGCGCACGCAGATTTATTCCAGACCTCCCTACTTGGGGCGTGGCCTAACAACAGAGATTACCAGCCTACTTGCCCATGTTTCACCAGCTTGCTACAAGCCTTCCTCCATTCGCTTGTGCTAGACCTATCTTTGCCATACAGTCCCAGTTTCCTACAATCCACTGCCCTCGGCCAGGAAGAGCCGGCCCAGCCTAGTTATAATATGAGGAGAGCTAACGGGCGATGTTCTGACTAGCTTGCCAGCCTAAGAGGGGTGGAGGGACCGTTGGCGGATGATGCAGTGGAGAGCGGAGACAGGTGATCGTGCATAGCAGACCGCAGTTGCACGTCTTGTTTCTCAACATCACCTTAGTCCAGTTATTTTGTTGCATGTTTAGATGTAGCGTCCCTATCAGCCAACTGCAACATGACAGGCCAGCCAGTCTGAGTGGCCAGCCTAAGCAATCCAATTGCACACAGTTATAGTTCAAGTCCCCCTACCAGAGAGCGTGGCCCCACAGCTTGGGTCGCTAGCTTCTGCGTCCATATTTCACCAGCTTGCTGTACTGTCTGCTGGGAGGGTTGATTAGGATGGTCTAGTTTGTGGAAGACGGAGGCGGATGTAAGTTCACAGCAGCCTGCAGTCGCACATCATGATTAGCACACTTCTCATCCTTACTTTTGTCAAGTTCTGCTGCTGTTTTTTCTCAGCACTGCGTCACTGGTCAGCCTACGTAGAAACCGAGCTTTTTCAGGCCAGCCAGTCTCATGGCCAGCCAGTCAGCATACCTTCCCTGGCCATCCGCATTTACTTTGACTCCACAGGCGAGCCAGTCTACACGGCCAGCCTAAGCATCCAAGGCCACACAAATACATGTCAGGCCCTCCATACCACAGGGCGTGGCCCCACATTATGGACCGATAGCCTTTTTCAAACATGTCCAGCTCTCATCAGATGTGTTGCACTGTCTACTGCGAGGGTTGCTTGGGATAGGCTAGGGGTGGAGGGCGATTTGATAGTTACGGCAGCTTCGAGCATTTAGTGATATTCAAATGTCGGCCACAACGCATGGCCAGCCTCAGCCCTCTAAGCAAGCCTGGCACACCGAAGCCCCCACCTGCACTTCTGGTGGCACTCACCTCCCTCCACTCGCTCTGCAGGTGCCTCGGTCGCCACTTCCCTCTGGCAGGCGCGCTATACCTGGGGGGACAAGAGCCACACTGGTGGCCACTCCCGCTGGGGAGCACCCCCCAGGAACGGATGCGGTTATGGGGCCTCCCCTCGAGGAGACGCGAAGTCAGCTGCTGTGGCACCCGTATATTCTGCCACCACTCGTCTCTTTACAGCCTTCTGCTGTTGTCGGGCATGGGTACATGTACTCGCGACTGTTCCTCTCCTGCGCCGCTTGTGCTGCATGCCTCTTTTCTTGTATCGCTTCTCGCCTGGATCCAGAAAGTTTGGAAGTGTCTATTATCAGAGGGTGGGCGGTTGGGTATCGGACGGGTTTCGACGCCGAGGTATCTCCAGCATGTAGCCCCTTCTACAATCTGGCTGGCGCACGCTCTGAGTAAGGCCCTCCTGTTGTTGTTGCACTGCCTGCTCCGCTGCGCCCGCCGGGACTTTGTTTTTCGCTCGTTGAGTCGGCATCCTTGTTTTTCCTGCACCCGTTAACGAAAAAAAAAAAAGTTCGCGCTTCGTGGATGGCGAACGTCAAAAGGTGGGTGCTGATCTCCACGGGCCCACGCTGCGAGAAGGTCACGACAGCGGCTCCCCGGGAAGGAGGCGCGCCCCAGAAGCGTTGCTCCGCGCGAGTGGCGCTGTCAGGGGGCGTTGGTTTCGCCCTCCAGGCTTCTCCCTCTGCTCGCCGCCCCCCACTGCGCTTTGGATGCAGCTCCTGGGAAGTGGGATTCAGCGTCGGCCCTGAAGTATATGTTGGACGTAAAAATGTATACATGCATATGCATACATGTAAACAAATGTACACATGTATCTACGTATATGATACATTCGCCCCCCTGTGGTCCGCTTTTTTTCCTGGATTGTCCTTCAAATGTCAGCTGGGCTGAGAGTGTGAATGCAGGCGTGTCAGTATCGAGCGGCACGGGGCCTTCACCAGCGCAAGCAACCTCCACAACACTGTCAAGGCACCAGCAATCGGAGTGTAACTGGCACGGGTGGCAAACTATATCAATAGTACAATGCAGCGAAGGTGGAGGAGGAAGAGGAGGATGCTGAGAATGGGGATAAGGGCAAGGAGGAGGAGGCGTGGCATTGCTTTGCTTTTTGTTGGCTTGGCTTGGCCTTGGCCTTGCTTTGCATCGCCTTGCATTGCTTGACATTGCGTTGCTTGTCATTGATTTGAACTGCGTTCCGTTGCTTGGCAATGCTATCTTTTTTCCTCGCGTTGTTTGGCACTGCTGCGCATTGGTTGGCATCGCGTTGCTTGATGTTTCATCGCATTGCTTGGCAGTACCAGGCGTTGCTTTACAATGGTAGGCACTGCGGCAGTGCTTGGCATTGCATTGCGTTGCTTGGCATTGCTTGGCATTGCATTGTTTGGAATTGCTTGGCATAGCCTAGCATTGATGGGCGCTGTTTTGCGTTACTTAGCATTGCGCTGCTTCGATTTGTTCGGTGTTGCCGTGAATGGCGTTGAAGCGCTTTGCTTCATAGTGACGTCCATTGCCTCGCAAGGCGTTCGCATAGCTTTGCTGGGCGTTGTTTTGCATTGCCCTGCGTGTCTTTGCATTGCTTTGCTTCACATTGGTTCGCCGTGCCTTGCTCGGCACTGAGGACCCCCAGAGGCCGAACATCGCCGAGGACATCCCGCAATGACTTCTTCACAGCGAGATCCGGGCGGGGTTGGGACAAGGTAAATCCGTTCCAGAGCGTTCCAGAACGCTCTCGGAGCGTTCCCGAACGCTCTGAGAAGGTCGCGGCGCCCGAGACATGCTCCAGAGCCGCCAGAGAGATTCTCGATTTATCCCCACCCGATGTTATCCTCGTCCTGGCTCCATCCTGCAGACGCCGAACCTCGCCGAAGACATCCCGCCCTGACTTCTTCACGGATCGAGGAGGCGGGGCTCCACCACTTCCTCTCGCTGCGAAGGAGCCGCGGCGATGCCCGATCCGTGTTGCTTCCATTCCGATGCTCGACCTCATCCTCGCCCGAGTAGCTCCTCGTCCCGGCTTCGTCTTAGGTGGGGGCCCCTCCTCCCTCGATGCTCGATCCGTGACTCCTCCCGCAGGCCCAGAGGTTGACACCAACACCAACTTCGGCGTTGTGCCTCCACCGAGGGAAGAAGATCCCGATCTCGGCGATGGTGGTAGTATTCTGGCTTCCAAGGTGGCCGAAATATCACCGACAGCACCGAAATCTAGGAGCATCTTCCCCCTGTGGAGGCAACCCCCTGTGTTGGTGTTGGTGCCCATTCCCAGGCCTCCAATAAACAGACCAGGAAGAAAAGACGGCCCCACGGAGGAGAAGGAGGAGGAGGAGGAGGAGGGGGGAGGAAGGAAGGTGGAGGAGAAGGAGGAGAAGGAGGAGGAGAGGAGGAGGAGGGAGGAAGGAAGGTGGAGGAGGGAGGATGGAGGGGAGGCCCTCTCGCGGCGCGGCGGCGCCGCTGCCCCCCCCCCCCCGAGCCCGCTCCGACGTGGACCGGATGCAGGCCGAGCTCGCAGCCTACTTCTCGCGGGGCGGAGGCCGGCCGCCGGCGGCGCGGCCTGCGGGGAGCGCGCGCGCGGCTCGGGTCGGGGGGGCCCCAGAGTTCAGTCGGGCGTGTCCCTCTACAGGGGGGATAGTCAAGAGTAGTCTAAAAATAGTCTGGGGGCGATGTTTTGTTTATGTCTGAATCTTTTGGGGGGCAACTTGGGGGGTATTTTCATTTTTCGTCCAAGATCGGCCTGTAGGGGGACATGCCCGACCTAACCCCAGGGCGCTGCGGCGGCCACACCTCAGAGGAGGAGGAGGAGGTACCCATGGTTCGGGGCGATTGTTTGATTATGTTTGATTATGTTTGAATATTTTGGGGGCATTTGGGGGGTATTTTCATTCCCAACCCTCCTGCGTTGGGTTCTCGTTTTGAATAGAGCACTGCTCGCGCGTCTCCTTCCTTACTTCCTTCCTTCCCGCCCCTCTCTTCCCCCCTGCCTTTTACCTCGCTCGTCGCTGCGTGACAGCTGGGGGGCTGCGATCTGTGAAACTGTCGCCACTTTCGAGGGCTGCTGGGGGGCCCACCACAGTGGGACACACGGCGGACTCAAATGGGACCTCGCCATCCCTGGGGGGCTGCGATCTGTGAAACTGTCGCCACTTTCGAGGCCTGCTGGGGGGCCCAGCACAGTGGGCACACGGCGGACTCAAATGGGACCTCGCCATCCCTGGGGGGCTGCGATCTGTGAAACTGTCGCCACTTTCGAGGCCTGATGGGGGGCCCAGCACAGTGGGTACACACGGCGGACTCAAATGGGACCTCGCCATCCCTGGGGGGCTGCGATCTGTGAAACTGTCGCCACTTTCGAGGCCTGCTGGGGGGCCCAGCACAGTGGGTACCCACGGCGGACTCAAATGGGACCTCGCCATCCCTGGGGGGCTGCGATCTGTGAAACTGTCGCCACTTTCGAGGCCTGCTGGGGGGCCCAGCACAGTGGTACACACGGCGGATTCAAATTAGACCTCGCCATCCCTGGGGGGCTGCGATCTGTGAAACTGTCGCCACTTTCGAGGCCTGCTGGGGGGCCCAGCACAGTGGGCACACACGGCGGACTCAAATGGGACCTCGCCATCCCTGGGGGGCTGCGATCTGTGAAACTGTCGCCACTTTCGAGGGCTGCTGGGGGGCCCAGCACAGTGGGTACCCACGGCGGACTCAAATTACACCTCGCCATCCCTGGGGGGCTGCGATCTGTGAAACTGGCGCCACTTTCGAGGCCTGCTGAGGGGCACAGCACAGTGGGTACCCACCGCAGACTCACATTCGACCTCGCCATCCCTGGGGGGCTGCGATCTGTGAAACTGCCGCCACTTTCGAGGGCTGCTGAGGGGTACAGCACAGTGGGTACCCACCGCAGACTCAAATTAGACGCCGTTTTCGTCCTTGTTCTCCTCCTGCAGTCACCTTCCCTCTGCTGCTGTCGTGCTGATGGTTCGGCTTCCCGCACATTTTTCTCCTGCTCTGCGTTCCCGACTCCCCACGTCCTCTTCGAGCCTGTAGCTGTCGCCCCTCGTTCTTGTATGGTTCTCCTGCGCATCATGCCATAGGCGCGTGTCCCTAGTAGCTTACACAACAAGTTGATTGTCCATGCAAGTTTCGGCCAACTGCTCGTTTCCATTGATGCAAATGGGTTGGGTACGTCACAGGGTAATTTTTCGTCCAAAAATCGGCCTGTAGGGGGACATGCCCGACCTTACCCCAGAGCGCTGCGGCGGCCACACCTCACAGGAGGAGGAGCAGGTACCCATACCGCTATTCTCCGCCGGTAGGAAGGTGGAGGAGGGAGGATGGAGGGGAGGAAGAGAGGAGGAGCACGAGGAGCGCGGTGCGGTGCGGTAGCAGTGGGGATCCGGGGTGGCCGCACAGTTTTGGCCAGCCCAGGGCGTGTTTCCTTCTCCTCGTCTGGCTTCGCCAGTCCGCCGCCCTGCATTCTCCCTCCTTGTTTCCCTCCGCTCCCTCTCTTCCCTTTCGGGCCCCACCGTGGAGCAGCCGATCCAGAAACGAGATAGCATCCGTGTATGATTTTTCCCCGTGTCCAAGGCACCTCTGGGTGTATGACTCCTTGCTTGCACGGCTGTGGTCAAAGAAAACTGCATGAACATGGTTGTTCGGAGCTCCGCCCGGGGTTCTTGGGTCTGCGCTGGGCCCCTCTGGCGGCGCCTCCAGCGCCGCCCCCGGCGCGCTCTGCGCGCCAGGGAGGGGGGTGAGGCGACGATCCAGGAAAGCCGCGCGGACATCCGAAAGTGTATGCGTTTGCTGTTGTTTGTTCCTCTACTTGGGACCCGGGTCGTTCTCCGAGGATGTTGTGGCGGGAGATTGGGACTTCCAAGATCCAAACCACTGTGCGGGACGGACCGTGCGGTGAGTTCAGTTGGCATTTCGAGGTCACCGCACGGTCTGTCACGTCATCGTTTTCTTATCTGTTTTTGGCGCCTGTTTCAAGCAGGTGGGGTCCCCATAGGACGCACAGTTTCAAGCAGTCGCGTTCAGCAGAGGTCCGGAGCCAGACCCCTTCCGTTCCCCTTCCCCTTCCGCCGAATGTCGAAACGCCGAATCCGAAAACGTGCACCACACCACCTTTTTGGGGACCTCCAATTCCGAGCGCAACCTGTGCCAGGGCCCGGGGCCCCCCCCCCCCACCCACGGAGGGCGGAGAGCAGGGGATTTGCTCCAAGGGCTCGTGGGCTCTTCCGGGGGGGGGGGGGCTTCCTCGCCTCGGGGTGGCTTTTTCCAGTGGCTGCGCCTCCTGGGAGGCCCGAGGAGGCCCGAGCTGTGGGCCGACTGGGCGGCGATAGTGGAGGGGGCGATGGATAGGCGGGGCAGCGAGGGCTTGAAGGGGCCCGTTGGGGCCCAGGAGGGGGGCTTCAGGGCCCGAGAAGTGCACCTCCCCCATATATCTATATATATATATATACATACATATACATATATATATATATACATATATATATATGTATATATGTATATATAAATATGATATGTATATATATATATATGTATATATATGTATACACACACGTATCTCTCGCTCCCCCATTAAGCGAGGCCCAAGCCGAGAGCCACCCGAACCCAGATCGCAGACCCCTGCCGTAAAAAACAAAAAACAAATAAAATAATAAAAAACGATGGCGTGGGCCATTCTCGGCCTTGTTGGAGGCCCCTGGCCGAGCCCCGGGACGCGGCGAGGAGGGGGGGGTGAAGGCAGAGGAGGGGAGGAGGAGGGGGGGCAGGAGGGGAGAAGGAGGGGGGGGGGGGGGAGGGGGGGGAGGAGGGGAGGGGGGGGGGGGGGGGGGGAGGAGGGGGGGTGGAGGGGCGGGAGGAGGGGGGGGGGGGCGGGGGAGGAGGGTGAGGAGGGAAGACGGGGGAGGAGGGGGGGAGGAGGGAGGAGGAGGTGAGGAGGGGAGGAGGAGGAGGAAAAGGAGGAGGAGGAGGAGGAGGAGGAGGAGGAGGAGAAGCGGAGGAGGCGGAGGAGGAGGAGGAGGAGGAGCGAGAGGGAGAGGGTTGGGGGAGTGGCGATCTGGAGAGTCCAGACGAAGAGGTCCAATCCAGAATTCCAGAGTCTCGATTTCGGATGGGACCTACGAGTCCTATTCCAGATTTCAGAATTCCTGCTGCTGGATTCAGATTCCAGAGTTGGACTCCGGATTGGATTTTCGAGTCCAGAATTTCGGATTCGGGTTTTGGATTGGATTTTTGAGTCCAGAAGTCCTGATACCAGATTCGGATTCCAGATTGGACTTTCATATCCAAAGTTCCGGATTCTGGATTCCAGATTCGACATTGCAGTCCAGAATTCCAGATTCCGGATTCCGGATTGGACGTTCCGGATTTCGGATTCTTGGATCCAGATTCTGGATTCCAGATTCCAGATTGAATTTTCGAGTGCATCGCGTTTTGCAGATTTCAGATTCCTGATTCGAGGAGGTTCCTGGTTTTGATGCATCGCATTTTTTGGATTCAGGTTTCCAGATCCGAACTCTCAGGAGGCTCCCAGCTCTCAACCATTGCACCTTCCAGATTCCGGATTCTGATTCTGGGCTCCAGATTCGGTTTCAGGATTGGCTTACGAGTGCAGAATTCCGGACTCCCGATTCGGATTCCGGACTGGATCTTTAAGTCCAGAGTTCCAGATTCGAACAGGCTCTTAGTTCTGACCGGATTCGGGATTCAGATTTTGGATTGGATTTGAATTCGAATTTCCAGATTCCATTCGGATTCCAGATTGGATTTTTCAGGCTAGATTTACCCAAATTCCGGATTCGAGGAGGCTACTGGCTCTGATGCAACGCATTTTTGTGATTCCGGATTCTAAGAAGTGCCCCGCTCTAACGCATCGCATTTTTTGGATTCTGGATTCGAGCAGGCTCCCGGCTTTGCTTTGATCAACGCATTTTCTGGATTCCTGCCTCCAGATTCCCGATTTGGGATTCGAGTATGGCTCTGATGCATCGCACCTCCTTGTGCCCAGATTCCGGATTCAAGGAGGCTTTTGGTTCTGATGCATCGCATTTTCCGGATTCTGGATTCGAGCAGGCTCCCAGCTCTGCATCGCATGTTCCAGATTTCCGATACCGGATCCGACCTCTCCGCCTGGATTTTCTGGATCATCTCTCGGCGGGGGAGAAGGCACTATGCTATTCCCACCTTCGCAGCGATGATGAGGTGGAGGAGGCAGGGAGAGAGGGAGGGGAGAGAAGTGGGAACAGACCACTTCCCCTCGCAGCGGGGCCGCCAGCAGGCCGAGTGAAGAACTGCCGCGTCTTCTACTCGCGCGCGTCGCACCAGGCGGCGCACCCACCTGGGTGCTCGCCCCGAAGCAGCCGCGGAGGAGTGAGAGGGGCGGCGAGGAAGAGGAGGAGAAGGAGGAGGAGAAGGAGGAGGAGGAGGCAGCAGATGAACGCTACAGCCCCGCGTCTCGAGTTCGCCCAACGTCGAAAAGGAGGCAGCAGAGGGAACAGGGAAGGAGAGGTGAGAGAGGAGGGAGGAGGAGGAGGCGGAGGAGAAAAAGGGGTGGGGGAAGATGAGGAGGAGGAGGAGGAGGCCAAGGAGAAAGTGGATAGGAGGAGGAGGAGGAGGAGGAGGAGGAGGAGGAGGAGGAGGGAGGAGGAAGAGGAAGCGGAGGAGGAGGAGGAGGAGGAGGAGGAGAAAGAGAGAGGAGGAGGAAGAGGAGGAGGAGGAGGAGGAGAGGAGGAGGAGGAGGAGAAGGAGGAGGAGGTGGAGGAGGAAGAGGAGGAGGAGGAGGAGGACCACTGTAAAACCAAGAGTCATCAACGATGTTGGAATTGTTGACGCTTCGCGAATCCCCACCAGCCCATCCAGAAACGATGCCCAGAGGAATTGCCTCGATCAGGGAAGTGGGCAGCACACAGAGGAAGCCATTATGAGACATCTTGGGATATCTTGAGCCATCTTGGAGGTCATCTTGGGCTCTCCCAGGCGCTCTTGGAGTCATCTTAGTCAGTGCCCCCCCCAAGAGGCCAACATGTGGCTAAACCCTTCGTAGAATCAAAATGATTTGGCATTATCGCCGAGGCCTCTTGGAGCATCTTGGGTGCCTCGGGGGGTCTCTTGGGGCCTCTTGGGGGTCTCTTGGAGGCCTCCTGGGGGCCTCTTGGGGGCCACCTGGGGCCATCTTGGGGCACCTCTTGGGGCCTCCTGGGCGCTTCTTGGGGCCATCTTGGAGGAGATCGATTAAACAAGAGGGGAGCGTTAATTAGGGCCTCCCCCTCAGGTGGCCAAAATGAGGCCAAAACCGAGTAAAGCCAATGATGTTGGCTTCCTCGCCGAGACCGTTTTGGACGCTCCGACGACTCGCGAAACCCCTTGTCCAGGTCCATGGGGAGGGGGTAGGGGGAGGGGTCAAGAGTCTCCTTCCCCGCCCGCAAGCCGTCTCGCTCACTCCCACCCGCCCCCCCAACACATACGTAGCACCCGAGGCTGGCCCGAGCCGCAGCAATGCAGCAGTCGTCTTTGGATGGCCAGCTACTAGGAGCGCATCCGCCGCCGCCCGCCGCCGCCGTCGCCGCCGCCGCCGCTGTCCGCCGCTGCCGCCGCCACCGCGCTGCCCGCCGCCGCCGCCGCCGCCCCCGCTGCCAAATCGCAGCCGCTGCCGCCGCTGTCGCTGCCGCCACCGCCGCCGCCGCCGCCGCCGCCACCGCCGCAGCCGCCGCAGCCGCTGCCCCCGCCGCAGCCGCCGCCGCCGCCAAGTGTACTCAGTAAGGGATGGTGGGGGGAGGCCGCATGGGGTTCGCTGCGCATGCTCCGAAGTTGGAGACAGAGTGTGTCCTCGTATTGTGTTTTACCAAGGATGGTGGGGGAGAGTGTTTTGTATTGTTTTTACAAGGGATGGTGGAGGGGGGGCCTCATGGACCTGGGTTGGCTCCCAATCGCCTGGGGGAGGGGGTGTACACTAATAAGGAACAGTGGTAAACCCTCCCCGAAGGGGAAGAAAGAGGGGTGGAAGAGGAAATTCCCTAAACCGCCGACGCCCAGAGGACTGGTGGGTTTAACCCTCCCTCCAAACCCCTCTTCATAGGCCCCCACAGCGGTTCATTCCCATTGCCTCGTTGGAGGACAACCTTTTGAAGATCCTGAAGCATGCCAAAACGTTGTTCCCGGGATTTCAACGCCACGTATCAAACTGATTGCTGCGTTTTGACGATCCGGAATCGTGCCAGAGGAGCGCCATTGTTTGGAACCTCAGCACCGCGAGTCGACATAACTGTTCCGCCCGCATAACCCTGAATCTCTCCAACACACAATTTCTGGTATGTTGATGTTGGAACTGTGTGAAAAGGTTGCAAAGTTTGAAAACGAATGCGCGCGGCGCTAAGGCGAGAGCCACACTTTGAAAAAGAACCGCCCTCAATTCGTAAAACTCTGGCAATTGTTAAAAACGAATGCGCGCGGCGTTCAGGCGAGAGCCACATTTTGAAAACCACCCGCCTTCAATCCGCGAAGCTATTGCAATTGTTAAGGGCGAACGCGTGCGGCGCTAAGGCGAAAGCCACAGTTTGAAACCCACCCGCCCTGAATGCGTGAAACGTTTGCACACGTTTAGAACAGATGTGTCCGGCGCTAATGCGAGAGCCACATTTCCCCCCCTCAATCCGTGAAGCTCTTGCAAGTGTTAAAACCGAATGTGTGCGGCACTAAGGCGAGAGCCACATGTTGAAAACCACCCGCCCTCAATCCGTGAAACTTGCCTGCAGCCTGCGTATGTTTAAAGCGAATGTGCGCGGCGCCAAGGCGAGAGCCACATGTTGAACACCACCCGCTCTCCATTTGTGAAACGGATGTCACTTCTTAAGCTTCAGAGTCATAAGTGGTGAGGAAGTCTCAGGCGAAACGCCCAGCCCGCCCTAAAAACTGGCCTCGGGTTGCGACAGGGAGAAGTTCTTATTATAAGGAGAAGAAATGAAGGAGGGGGAGGGAGAAATGAAGGAGGGGGAGGGAGAGGGGGAGGGGGAGGGGAGAGGGGAGGGGGAGGAGGAGGGGGAGAGGAGGAGCAGGAGCAAGCGAGGAGGAGAAGGAGAAGGAGGAGGAGGAGGAGGAGGAGGAGGAGCAGGAGCAGGAGCAGAAGAGGAGGAGGAGGAGGAGGAGGAGGAGGGGATAGGGGAGGGGGAGGGGGAGAAGGAGAAGGAGGAGGAGAAGGAGGACGAGGAGGAGCAGGAGGAGGAGGAGGCGGTGGAGAAGAAGGGATGAGGAGGAAGAGGAGGAGGAGGAGGAGGAAGCGGTGGAGAAGGAGGATAGGAGGATAGGAGGAGGAGGAGGAGGAGGAGGCGGCGGAGGATTAGGAGTAGATGTCCTCTCTCGGAGAGGTTGGATGATGATGATGATGATGATGCTGATGATGGTGTTGATGTTGTTGATGATGATGACGATGGTGATGATGATGATGATGATGGTGATGATGGTGATGATGGTGATGGTGATGATGATGCTGATGCTGATGGTGATGGTGATGGTGATGGTGGTGGTGGTGGTGATGGTGATGGTGATGATGGTGATGGTGATGATGGTGGTGGTGATGGTGATGATGATGGTGACGGTGACGGTGATGGCGATGGTGATGGTGATGGTGGTGGTGGTGGTGATGGTGATGGTGATGGCGGTGGTGATGGTGATGGTGATGGTGACGGTGATGGTGATGATGATGATGGTGATGATGATTGTGATGATGTTGATGCTGATGCTGATGATGATGATGCTAATGATGATGATGATGATGATGATGATGATGATGATGATGATGATGATGATGATGATGATGATGATGATGATATTGATGATGGTGATGGTGATGAGGATGATGATGATGATGATGATGATGGTGATGATGCTGCTGCTACTGATGCTGATGCTGATGCTGATGCTGATGATGATGCTGATGATGATGATGATGATGATGATGCTGATGATGATGATGATGATGATGATGCGGAGGATGCGGAGGAGGGGGAATAGGAGGATGAGGAGGATGAGGATGAGGAGGCGCAGGAAGAGGAGGCGACAGCATATGAGCGCTTCAACTCCACGGCTCAAGTTCGCCAAACATACAAAAGAGGCAGCAGAGGGAACAGGGAGGGAGAGGTGAGGGGGAAGGAGGAGGAGGAGGAGGGGGATGTGGGGAAGAAGAAGGAGGAGGAGGAAGACCAGTGGGGAGGAGGCCGAGGAGAAAGAGGTTATGAGGAGGAGGAGGAGGAGGAGGAGGAGGAGGAGGACGCGTGGAAGAAGGAGGGGAGGCGGAGGAGGAGGAGGAGGAAGAGAAGGAGAGGAGGAGGAGGAGGAGGAGGAGGAGGAGGAGGAGGAGGGGCGGAGGAGGAGGAGGAGGAGGAGGAGGAGGAGGAGGAGAGTGAGAGGAAGGCGGTGGAGATGGAGGAGGAGGAGGAGGTGGAGGAGAAGGATCAGGATGAGGAGCAGGAGGAGGAGGAGGAGGAGGAGGAGGAGGAGGAGGAGGAGGGAGGAGGAAGGAGAGGACGAGGAGGAGCACGGGGAGGAGGAGGATGAGGAGGAGGAGGAGGAGCAGGAGGAGGGGGAGGGAGGAGGTGGAGGAGGAGGAGGAGGACGAGGAGGAGGAGGAGGAGGAGGAGGAGGCGGAGGAGGAGCAGGAGGATTTCAGGATTTCCGCCATCACGTAGTGATATTACACAAGCCGCCCTCTGAGCTCGAAAGCGAAGACGCCGAACCAGAGGACGAAGGACAGGTACCAGCAAACACTTATGAATATTGCCCAGACGCAGAAGCCGACCCATACACGACCTGATAACAGCAATACCACGAGAAAACTGCCATGCCGGCCCAAATACGAATAAAAATTGAAGCTGTGCCGCCGAGTTGACACCACATTGACATAACCAGTGTCTAAGCGGAAGTGAGTTTGACTCTATAAGGCCCTAGCCGTGGATCACTGGGCTAACTCTCGCAATGAAGGAAGGAGCTCGCCTCACCCACAGACCACCTCGCCCCAGCCGAACAACGGAAGTGCCACCGACAGCAGAAGCCCCAGACTGCAACACTTGCAAACATCAGAACGCTTGCAATACAATCCAGAGCAGGATACAGAAGCATACAAAACTGTAAGAAGAGATGGTACGCCCAGGCCGCGGGGTGAAGGGCTTAAGTGGGCTCGCAGCCCCCGTGCCTCCAACCCAACCCACGACATGGGACGGAACTTCGGGAAGATGAGCGGCAGATGTATGCCCAGGCCGAGGGGTGGAGGGCTTAGATGGGCTCGAAGCCCGCGTGCCTCCAACACAACCCCCGCCCTGGGTCGGAACTTGCAGAAAACTCCCGTGAACACTGACCAACCCAGAGCAGCCCAAATGGAAGTACCCTCCAGCTCGTTCTGCCTTAACCATGGCCCTGTAAGGTTCAGTAAGGAAAACTGCACATTGCCAACTCGAAGACCTTGCCAAAAACAGCCCTTCTGGAGAAGGCACCACGTCGCGAAACGGCGTCATGATACCCTCCATATTGTTATGCCTTTGCCCAAGGCCCCAATAAAACTGCATGCGTAGCCGATGAACCCACTGCCTGAGACGGGACTTCACGTAGCCGAAGAGGTACGCCCAGGCCGAGGGGTGAAGGGCTTAGATTGGCTCGAAGCCCGCGTGCCTCCAACCCAACCCTCGGCCTGGGACGGACGTTGAAATTGATGCTCAGGAGGAACCCAAAACACCAATCTTGCAAAACTCGTCGACCGAAAACTTTGCACTGTACTAGCCAACCGCGCGAATGTAACAACTGTTGTGTCGCAGTCAAGCGGTGCCCCTCAAGCACCACGGGGAGGTTCAGTGCAGGACAGGGAGCATGCCGAGATGAGCCAAAACATGGTTTTACTGCGCTCCGCGCCCCTGAGCTTGAGAGGAGGAGCAGGAGGAGGAGGAGGAGGAGGAGGAGGAGAAGAGGGAGCAGATGAACGCTACATCCCCGCGGCTCAATGTTGTCCAACGTCGAAAAGGAGGCAGAGGGAGCAGTGAGGGAGAGGTGAGGGAGGAGGGAGGAGAAAGCGGAGAAGAAAGAGGTTATGAGGAGGAGGAGGAGGAGGAGGAGGAGGAGGAGGAGAGGAAGAGGAGGATGAAAAGGAAAAAAACAGATGGGATAGGAGGAGGAGGAGAAGGGAGGAGGCGGAGGAGGAGGAGCAGGAGAAGGAGGAGGAGGAGGAGGAGGAGGAGGGAGGAGGAGGAGGAGGTGGAGGAGGAGGACGGGGAGGAGGACTAGGAGGAGGAGGAGGCGGAGGAGGAGGAGCAGGAGGAGGATGATGACGAGGAGGAGAGGGAAGCGCGCGATACCTCTCCTCCTCCTGCTCCTCCTCCTCCTGCCTCCTCCTCCTGCCTCCTCCTCCTCCTCCTCCTCTCCTCCTCCTCCTCCTCCTCCTCCTCCTCCTTGTTTTGTTTTTCTTTTCCTCCTCCTCGGTGGCTCCCTGCGCGACCCCCCTTCGCCCCCCCGCGGCCATTTTGTCCGCGGGGGCGCGAGGGCCCACCAAGCGGTGCCCCCAGCCCCAGGCGCTCGCCTTGCGCGATGCCGACAGCGCACGTGCCGCCTTCCTGTGCGGGCTCGTTGCCCCGTGCCGCCCGACGCCGCGCCAGAGGGCGCTGCACGGCGGCTTGCCACGCACAGGCTGGCGCGATCGCTGCACTGCTGCGGCCGCGGGACTCGCCTGACATGGTCGCGGAGGGCGAGGCTCCATGCGTGGCCGAAGGCCCACCGCCCTTCGTGTCAGGGCTTCTTGGCGGAGGTTCAGAGGGCGCGGTGCTGATCGACCCCCTGGGCTTCGTCGGCGCTCCCGGGTGTTGGCTGCTGCGCTCCTGCCCGGTCAGCGCAGGCTGGCCTGGGCTCGCCGTGCCGCTGGCGCCTGGGTGCTGGAGCCCTCCTGCTGCTGGAGAATGGCGTGGAGACGGTGGACTTGCTGGACTCCCTCGCGATGTTGCGCATGTGTCTTGCCCCGCAGGTGGCGCTCTGCCGACGTCGACGGGAGGGACGCCTGCCGCGCAGCCTCCGCTTGCTGGACCTCATCGTGTTCGGCGTGATGGGAGTCCACGAATTGCCGCTCGAGCTTGTGAGGATCGGCCTGGAGTTGCTGGACTTTGTCTGGACGCGCGCGCTGATAGTCCACGTATTCTCGAGCCTACCGATGCCGCCCTCCCTCGTCCAGTTCCTGGGCCGCGTGGGCCAGTCTTCGGTGCCCGACCTTGGGGTGGCCATCTTCGCCCGCTTCCTGGGCAACCTGGCCGCATCTTTTGGTGAGGCCTCAATAGTTTGCTGAAGAAGTCTTTATTCCTCGACCTCTTCCTGGGCCTCGTGGGCCTCTCTTCGGCGCTCGGCGGCAGTATGGCGTTTCTCGGCAGCTCGTCGGGCCTCGAGGGGGCGCGCTCACGGCTGGGCCGCAATTCAGCGGGACTGGCAACGAGCTTCCTTTTTTGGCGGCCGACAGAGCTGCCCTGGTTGACGGTGCCGCGGCAGGGCCCCAGAACAACGGACCCGTCTTCAGCGACATGGCGTATCTCTGGGGGTTCTACGCCGAGGGCTTGCTGGATATTCTCTGTCGCCCCAAGTCGTGCACGGCGGACGGTGAAGCGACGACTGGGGCTTCTGAGCCGATTCTGACAGTGCGCCTTGGCACCGCCTCAGATGCATGTCCTGGCGAGCTGGGACGCCGCCCCCAGTAGTCGCCAGATTGGTCTCGTTTGGCCGTACAAGCACACTGGTCACGACAGCCAGCCCCAGCGACCAGGGAGCGGCCCCCTTGCCTGGAGGGGGGCACAGCTTGACGGATAGCACGAGCCGCGCTGTCCCAGGTGATGCCGCACACCTGGTCCATGGGTTGGCCTCTCGGGGGAGTGGCTTTGGTGAACTTCCCGCGCTTTGCGGGAGGCACGGCCTGGAGGATGGCACAAATTGTGCCGTCCCAGGTGACGCCACGCACTTCCGCTCCCAGGGAGTGGCCGAGGTGGATCCCTGTCGCCTTGAGGAGGGCACAGCTTGGAGGATAGCGCGGAGCGCTGTCCCAATCATGCCGCGCTGGGCCTCCGCCCAGTTCCTTTATCCGTTTTTTTGTTGTTGGATCTGGGCGTTCTCCCCGCGATCCCTTGGGTGGGGGAGCGCGTCGCTGACAGATTCCGAGGCGGTCAGGAGCCCTGCCTCTTTCTCCTGTGCACGCTAGGCGCCCTCCGGAGCACGGCGTCCGCCAGCAAAGTAGTTCCTTGTCCACTGCCCTGTTTCTCAGCTTCGCTTGCCCGCTGCAGTGTCTCGGCTCAAGGCCTGATCAGTGCACCAGACCCGCCTTAGACTCGCCTCAGACATTCCGCCTTGGACCTTCATACGCTGTACTTCCTTCACGGAAACATCGTTTCTTTTCTTACATCATCATTTTTGGTTTCCTTTTCCTCCTCCGCGCGGCCGCGTGTTTCTGCCGCGCGCCCAGAGCCTTTTGATCGGGAGCGCGCCTCAGTCCCCCTCGCGCTGTGAAAAAAATCAAGACGGGGGGGGGTCGCTACCCCCCCGGAAAAAATATATAGCACACCCCTATTTAACCCCCGAAAGTTGATTATCCCAGGCCAAGACAGACTCGGTCGGGGGAGGGGCGGCGAGGCCGAACTTATTTCCGCCGGGGGAATTACGACTCGAGGGTGCCATTCTCGTATGTTGAGTGGCAGCACGATCACGAACGTGTGGCAGGGCTATGGGGCCCTTACCAGTTCAGCTTTCGTAGCTCCGTAACGTGTGGCAGCGTTATGGGATCCTTACCATTGCAGCTTTCCCAAGTCAGGAACGTGTGGCAGGGCCAAAGGAAATTCGTTTTTGTTCAGCTTTACGCGTTGCATGCCCATGGGGTTTTGAAGCATGTCAACAATCCCAAGTCATGACGCGTGGCAGTGCTTTCTAGGTTTTTTCATTAGTTCCGATTTCCCCAGGCACGACCGCGTGGCTGGGCCATTGGATTTTCACAAGTTCATGTTCTTCCAATCCACGCACGCGCGGCAGGGCCATGGGACTCTCACCAGTTCAGTTTTCCCAAGTCACGAACGTGTGCCAGGAGGCCCCGCCAGAGCGAGCAGGATACCGGTGTAACAGATTAACAATTCATCCGCATACGAGTTGCCGGAAGAAAGTTGTAGGATCCCCCCGGCCCCCGAATTTTCTTATTCCCACCCTGCGATTATCATGTTTACTTTCGGCTTCCAGGGGCCCTTACCAGGCCCCAGGACCGTCAACAAAACGGTGCAGGATGAAAAATTTGTCCCCAGGAAGGGGTCCAGACCTCTAGCGGTCGACGCTGTGAAAAAAAACAAGACGTCGGGGGTCTCGGATTCCGTCAGTATCCCTAAGACGAGACGGTTCCCTCCAGAGCGACGCGCAAAAGGCGGCCGCTCCTAGGGGGAGAGGGTGCGGTGGCCAGGGCCTCCAGGTTGGGCGTGCGCGTGAGCGCCAGAGCACCGGCCCCCAGCTCCCCGGGCAGCCGCCCCCCAGGAGCTCGCCAGTTATTGGCAGCACCCTCCTCCACTTCCTTCTCGTCTGCCTTTTCTCCCCTCGTCTCTCCCTTCCCCGTACGAGTTTGAATCAAGTATATATATATATATACATATATACATATATATATATACCTATATATATATTGATGTGAGTGTACATATGTATATGTGTACATCTATACATACACATACATGTACATATGCACATGTCTACATAACTATAAGTGTGTATATATATATATATATATATATATATATATGGATATGTATATATACATATATATGTATGTCCCTATGTTTGGCACCGCCTCACCTCAGTGCCGATCTCATGGATCCCCCCTCAGTTTCTGAGGGCACATCCCTTAGGCGGATGCTCTTCGTTTCTCGGGAGCTCCCTCCCTTCCTCAGCGAGTCCCTCAGCTTCTCTGGATTATCATCGCCTTGGACTTGCCGTAGGGACAAGTTCGAGGCTGGTTAACCCCCTCTCTTTCTTGTCCTTGTTCCTGATTCTTGATGGCGTCAGCAGTCTCCGGCTGCCGCCCCTCTCTCTTGTCCTCCTCGTCCTCCTGCCCGTACCCCTCCCTCCGAGGGGCGCTGCGCCCCCATCGGCACAGCCCTGGGAAGCAAGGATCGATCTCCCACGGCGTCAGCCGCAGCACTGTCAGGGTTGTGCGAGATTACCTCCCGAGGGGGGGGGGGCGGGTGGGACCGCCGAGCGATAGCGTTAACGCCACGACCAGTCAGTCGATTCGGCAATCCCGCGGGGGGGCAGCGGGAGAGAGAGGAGTAAGACGGCCCGAGAGAGGCCTCAAGACGGCCGCTTTGGAGGATCGCGCTGCATCGCCGACGCATCGGCGATGCGGCTCGACGTGGAGCCCAATTTACTCCACGTCGACGGTGCCGATGCATCGCCGACGTCGCTGGTGCATCGCCAGTGCATCGCCGATACATTGCCGATGCATCGGCGATGCGGCGCGATCCTCCGACCCCGTCTATTGCGACCCCGTCTAGGAGGCCTCTAGAGACGGCCGCTTCGGAGGCGAGAGCCCCGCCGGTCTAGTTGGAGTCCTGCCAGGGCCTCGCTGGAATCCGAGCAGAATCCTGGTGGGATCCCGCACTGAGGGGTCCTTGGTCGGGACATCGCTTCCAGGGGCGAGAGGCGATATAGTTTCACCGAGAAGGAGGGGGGGGCGATAACTGTTTCCCACGGTTACTCCCGTACACTATCCCCTCTCTTCCTCCCCCACCTCCCTTCCTCCTGCCCTCCCCCTCTGCCTTCCGCTCCTCCCGCTCATCCCTCATTCTCCTCCCTTCTTCTCCTTATCCTGGTCCTCCTCTTCACTCCCTCCCTCCTCCCTCCCTCCACTCACCCTCCCTCCGTCCCGCTCACGCTTTCTGCCCTTCCTCCGTCCTCCTCCTCCACCTCCTCCGCCTCCTCCTCCTCTTTCTGGCTCGCCTCCCCCCTCCCTCCCCAGATCTCCGACGCTGTGATTCTCTCGCAGCGCGGACCCCTGCAGAGGTCCAGGTTCCTTCCCAAGAGGATTGATGTTCCGTCCCGAGCTGCCGTCCCCGAGCCCCGGCGAGGCCCCCAGAGGCGAAGACTGCAAGACAGTTCTTGTCCTGTTTTTTTTGGTTGGCTTCGCAGCGAGGGGAGCGGGGATCCCCGGACCCCCTCCCTCGTCTTCCCTCCTCCCGCCCTGACCTTCCAGGAGGGCCCCAAAACTTCACCAGGACCTCGACCTCTGAAGTCCTGTCGAGGTTTTGGGCAGACCAGGTAGATCTATAGGTCTGGAGTGCTATTTGTGTAAGCACTCTGGAAGGTCAGGGTGGTCCTCCCCCACCAGCCCTTCCCCCCTCTGTGAAGGTGGTCGCCCAGCTCAACTGCCACCCGGCCGAGACCCCAGCCGCCCCCAGGCCGCGACCATGTCCGATCGGAGGCCCCTGTCTGGGCGGGGTCGGATGGCCGCAGGGCAGACGGAAGGAAGCCCGAGGACCGATGGTTGGGAAGTCTCCATGAGCACGTGTCGGCACAGTCGACGTGGGTAGGGAAAGACTGGGGACGAAGAGCAGGACTCGCTGTCGGCGTCGCCGCGGACGCTGAGTCCAGGGAATAGCTTGCCCAGCAGCGGCTGATGCCAGCTTTGGCAGCAAGTGTTCTTGGGCATCGTCCCCACCTTTTCTCATAACCCATCTCGGATACGCCAAACGTGCGGTGCCGTTTCTCTTGTAGTAGCTGAGTGCGGCCAGTTAGGGACATTTGGGGCTGGACGCCTGAGGATCATGGTTTTAGATAATGTTGGCTCATCTTGGGCCTCCGGGGTCCTTCAGGTACATATGGGGACCTTCGGAGAGGGTGTGCGGAGACGTACTCGTCCTTTCCTCCAGCTCCGTCTCCTGCTGCTCCTTCTCTTCCTTGGACGAAGTGAACGTTTTTGGAAGGGCTGTTATTTTCGATGGAGTATCGCACGCCCCCCCTCACCCAGCATCCACGCCCGCAATATCACCAGCACCACTGCGCACCTCCGCACCCGCACCATCCCTGGGTGCCGCATAAACTCATGGAACCATCTAGAGATATTCTTGCGGCTGCTGCTGCTGCTGCTGCTCTCTGGGAGGTTGGGGGGTCCTCTTGGAACCCTCTTGGTGGCCCTGGAAGGCTTCTTGGGATCATCTTGGAGGCCATCGATTAAAGGATGGGGGGGTCCCCAACTCAGCTCCCCCCTCAGGAGCTGGCGAACCGATCCTTGAGGCTCTCTTGGAGAACTCTTGGGCGCTCTCTTGGAGCGGTCTTGAGGCCGTTTGGAGCATCTTGGGAGCCATCTTGAGCCAGCTTGGGCTATCTGAGCCATCTTGGAGGTTATCTTGGGCTCTCTGAGGCCGCTCGGGGGCATCTTGGGGGCTTCTCGGGGGCCTCCTGGGGCCCTCTTGGGACCTTCTAGGGGCCCCCTTGGGGCTCTTTGGGGGCTCTCTTGGGAGCCCTGGAGCGCCTCTTGGGGCCATCTTCGAGGCTATCGATCAAAGGAGACAGGGTCCCGATCGATGTCCCCCCCTCGGGGGCCACGATCGTCGTGAGTGGTGTCAAGAAATGGCCCTCCCAGGGGCCGATCTTGGACGTTCTAACCCCTCGCAGCCCCTCCCGTCCAGGTCCAGGGGAGGGGGCAGGGGGAGTGGTGAAGACCCCCTCCCCGCCCGCAAGCCGTCTCGCTCACTCCCATCCGCCCTCCCAAAACATACGTAGCACCCCAGTCTGACCCGAGCCTGAGCATATTCAGCAGTCGTCTTTGGATGGGCAGCTACTGGGGGGCAAATCCGCCGCCGCCGCCGCCGCCGCCTCCGCCGCCGCCGCCGCCGCCGCTGCCCGCCGCCGCCGCCGCCGCCTGCCGCCGCCGCCGCCGCCGCCGCCGCCGCCGCCTGCCGCCGCCGCCGCCGCCGCCGCCGCCGCCGCCGCCGCGTGCCGCCGCCGCCACCGCCGCCGCCGCCGCCGCCCCCCCCCGCTGCCAAACCGCCGCCGCTGCCGCCACCGCCGCCGCCGCCGCCGCAGCCGCAGCCGCCGCAGCCGCCGCAGCCACCGCAGCCGCCGCAGCCGCCGCCGCCGCCAAGTGTATTATGTATTGTTTGTTGACAGGGATGGTGGGGGGGGGCCTCATCGGGTTGGCTGCGCATGTTCCCAATTTGGAGGCAGAGTGTGGTTTGCATTGCTTTTTGTAACCAGGAATGGTGGGGGCGTGTCGTCATGGACCCCGGTTGGCCCCCAGTCGCCTGGGGGAGGGGCTACTTACCAATAGGGAACAGTGATGAACCCTCCCCGACGGGGAAGAAGGGTTTTTGGAAGAAAGATAATCACCGTTAGACCACCTGCGACCAGAGGGCTGGTGGGAGTTGTGAGGGTTCCTGAGGATTCTTCGTGGATCCTTGAATCAGTCCTACAGATTGGAGGATCCTTGAGGATTCCCAAGATTCCGGGGGGGTGCATTCCAATTCCTGTGGAACCCACCCGATTCTTGAGGATTCTTAAGGATACCAAAGGATTGCTGAGGGTTCCTGAGGATTCATAGTCCTCCAGGAGGATTTCGAATGATTCGTCCGGATTCCAAGGAATCTTTTTTGAGGATTCTTGATGATTTCGAAGGTTCCCCAGGGATTCCCATGGATGGTTGAGGAAACCCGACGACTTTTATGGATTATTCAGGATTCCTGGTAGCCCTAAGGATTCGTGTGTTTATCTATCCTTCCAGGCAACCTGTGGTTCTGGGCGACACATTCTGAAACTGCAAGATGAAGATGTCACGGAATACCTTTGGGAGGCGGTGAACAATACAGAGCATTGGTGTTAACGAAATTGTCCCTCTTCGGGGGCGTTGTGAAACTCAAGAAATACGAGTCTGGACCGTGTTCGTCCTTAGGAGAGAAGGTACGATCATGAGAATAAGAAAATGGAAGAGAAGAGCGAATGTTGGCATATACGCGCAACGATGTGCAACTAAATCAGTGACCCGCTCAGCGGTAACGTGCATAATCAACATACAAGTATATAAGAAGTTATGCGAGCGCGTTCGCGGGGTTCGCAATCTATCGTTGTGCGGGGCGTAAAGCGGGCCCGCAGCCTAGCATATCCAATGTCGTCATTCGCTGGTACATGGCAAGCACGGAGGGGCAGAAAACTCGCTGGGCGGCAGTGAGCAAGGCGGCTCGGCAGAACAACGGACGAGGCACTGCGGCACAGGTCTTTGCACCGACTCTCACTTGGGTCAGGCGCCTGAGACAACAAATGCTTCCCAAGTGTGCGAGACATGGAGACCCTTGCGGTCTGGCGTGATGCCATCGGCGACCATATCCAAAACAGCGTTGCACACGGCGTCGGCATCTACGTTAAATTCTCGGCAAACGTGGATGACTTCACACACGCGCGCGACAGGCAAGCGGCGCAACTCTCGCAACCCCCGAAGGACTGTCTCAAGGAGCGGCCGCAACGAAGGCGCTCGACATCGCCACTGGCAGTTGACCTGACGATCAAGCAACAACGAGTCGACGCGAACTCGCATGCGTTCGGCTGGGTTCACAAAAGCATGCCTAAGATGTTCCAACAACCCCGTGTGCTCCGCGGCATTGTTTGTGGCATGGCCGAGTTGTGCACCGCGGGAAACCACGACGCGCCGGCACCCTTCGGCGTAACGAACACACCCGCACGAAGATGAGCTCGTCTCTGCCGTGCCCCAGCGCCGCGTCGCTCCGTCCGACGCGTACACGGCCCGTCCGTCAGCGTAAGAGGGAGGTCTCGCGCGCAGGGCACGCCTCTCGGCGCGCGTGCTCTCAGCAGGGGGGGCCGAAATCCACGGGCCCTCGGTCAAGCGCCAGGCGTGGCGCATCATACCTTCAATTTGTGGAATGCGACGCCGCGCAGTCGCACCACGGCGCTCGCGTACGCCAGGAAGCCTGGCAGCACCCCTCCGCTAACAACATCCTCCTGAAGCCAGAGCTGTCCAGCAGTCAGTTGCGCGCGCGCATTCTGGAACGGAAAGCATGACACCGCAGTCATCCCAATGCCTTGCGCAATCGCCGTGCGCTTCTCCGCAAAGAAAAAGCACGGTTGAACTGGCTCTCCTAGCAGTGGCGCGAGGTCAGTGAGGCCCCTGTTCACGGCGCCAACATCGCAGGGCGGATTTCGTTGGGGAAACGAGAGGATGGGCCCGGAGTGCCCTGGAGGATTTCGTTCCGGATTTCGAGGTGCATTTCGTGCGGATTTGATTTTGACCCGGAAGACTCTAAAAAAAGAAGAAAAAACACTCAGTTTTTCGCTCGCCGTTTCGGAGTGTTGCATTGGCAGAAATCCACACAGAAATCCGCTGCAGCACATGCCGTCGGGCTCCCAAGGTTCCCTCAGGCTCCACCTGGCCTCCGGTGGATGCCCAGGGAGCAGCGGCGGCGCGCTGTGGCCGAGCGCCGAGGTCACGGCGAGGGCCATCCTGACCGCGGAGGAGCCGCACCGCTTCGCCACGCACAGGTCGCCCTTCGACGTGCGCCTGTCCGAGGAGCCGCCGTCGCCGCCAGAGCCGTGGCCCTCGTGGTCGTCTTCCTCGTCCTCTGTCCTCGCGCGCCCTACTGGTGTGAGGGGGCGGACAGCTCGGCCATCCCGAGGCAGCGTTTCTTCATCCTGTGGGCGATGGCGGGCGTGACCCCGGGGGAGGAGGAGGAGCGGAGGGGAGGGCCTGTCGCGTCGCGATTCGCGCCAGCGCGGTCTGGGAATGCCTGGGGATGGCTAGTTCCCAGTCGGCGGCGGCGCAAATCGTGACATGACCAGGGGAGGAGGGGGGGGCGGGGCCAGTCACGGGCGTCATCGCGAATATTAGAACATGGGCTCTATTGTGGTTGGAATCGAAGTTGGTGATTGGCCACCCCCTCAGGGTCCCAAGCGGCGTGAGGCTTCAAGGCGAGGCTGAGGCTGAGCAGATCCCCCGAGCTTCGGTCTGCTTGCCACCGCCCGCCATCGCCGCCGGCGTCTTCGTCGTCGGCGGCTCCGCGGGGGCTTCAGCTGCGCTCGGGGGCCGAGCTCGTGGCCGCTCCAGCACCCTGCGGAGGGTGACGGGGGGGGGCGCTCGCGCTCTAGGGGTCACACTAAGCGGCCCCGCAACCGCGGTAATCGACGGCACGCGCATGGCCACGGGCCAACGGGCAACCCGTGTGTGTGTGTGTGCGCGCGTGCGTGGTGTGTGGTTTCTGGTCTGTGGTCTGTAGTCCGTGGTCTGTGGTTTGTGCTCTGCTGTGGCATGTGGTGTGTGGTGTGTGGTGTGTGGTGTGTTGCGCTTGGTGTGTGGTCTGTGGTGTGTATTGTGTGTTGTGTGTTGTGTGTTGTGTGTTGTGTGTGGGTTGCGTGCTGTGTAGAGTGAGGTGTCTGTGTATGTGTGTGTTGTGTGTGATGTCTGGTTCATGGTGTGTGTGTGTGTGTTGTCTGGTGTGTGTGTGTGTTGTGTGCTGTGTGCTGACGGTTTTGGGTTGTGGGTCGTTGTGGATTGTTGTGGGTAAGTGTGGACTGTTGTGGGTTATTATTGGTTTTGGGTTGTGGGTTGTGTGTTGGTGTGTGTGGTGCGTGTGATGCTTGTGGTGTGTGTGTGGGTGGTACGTGTGCGTGTGTGTGGTGTGTGTGGTGTGTATGGTGTGTATGGTGTGTGTGGTGCGTGTTGTGTGTTGTGTGTGTGGTGTGTGTGCGTGTGTGTGGTGTGGGTGGTGTGTGTGTGTGTGTGGGTGGTGTGGGTGGTGTGTCGGTCGTGTGTGTGTGTGTGTGTGGGGGGGCAGGTGGTGTGTGGGTGGTGTGTGGGTTGTGTGTGTATGGGTGTATGTGGGTGTATGTGGGTGTGTGCCGGTGTGTGCGGGTGCGCGGGCGCCCTGTCTTGCAGGCGCGCGGGCGCGCGGGCGTGCGGGCGTGCAGCGTGCGGGCGTGCGTGCGCGTGAGTGTGCGCGCGTGTGTGTGTGTGTGTGTGAGTGTGTGTGTGTGTGCGTGCTTGTGTGTGTGTGGTGTGTGTGGGCGTGTGTGTATGCGTGTGTGTGTGTGTGCGTGCGTGGGAGTACGTGTGTGTGCGTGTGTGTGTGTGCGTGTGTCTGTGTATGTCTGTGTGTGCGTCTGTAGATGTGGGTGTGTGTGTGTGGGTTTGTGTGGGTGTGTGTGGGTGTGTGTGTGGGTGTGTTCGTGTCTGCGTGCGTGAGTGCGTGGGTGTGTGTGTGTGTGTTCGTGTGTGTTGTGTGATTGTGTGTTCGTGTATTTGTGTGTTTGTGCGCGTGTGGGTGTGTAGATGTGCGGGGTTTCTCTCCGCCCTGTCCCTTCGCGCCGGGCCGCGACACCCCCAAAAAGGTTGGTGTGGGTGTGTGCGTGTGTGGTTTGTGTGTTGGTATGTGCGTGTGCGTGTGTGTGTTGTATGTGTGTATGGGCGTGGGTGTGGGCGCGTTCGTGGGTGCGTGTGCGTGCGCGCGTGCGTGCGTGTGTGTGTGTGTGAATTTGCGTGGGTGTGTATGCGTGCGTGTGTTTGTGTGCATGCGTGTGTGTGTGTGTGAATGTGCGTGTATGTGAGTGTGCGTATGTGTGTGCGCGTGTGTGCGCGTGTGCGCGTGTGTGTATGTGCGCGTATATGCGTGTGTGCGTGTGTATGCGTGTGTGTGTGTGTGCATGTGTGTCTGTTTGATTGTGTGTATGCGTGCGTGAGTGGGTGGGTGCGCGTGTGCGTGCATGCGTGCGTACCTGCGTGCGTTTGTGTATGACTGTGGGTTTGGGTGTGGGTGTGTGGGTGTGTGTGGGTATGTGTGGGGGTGTGTGGGTGTGTGGGTGTGGGTGTGTGGGTGGGTGTGAATGGGTGTGTGTGGGTGTGTGCGGGTGGGTGTGTGTGTGTGGGTGTGTGCGTGGGTGTGTGTATGTGTGTGTGTGTGGGTGTGTGTGTGTGTGGGTGTGTGTGGGTGTGTGTGGTGTGGGTGGTGTGTGTGTGTGTGTTGGTGGTGTGGGTGGTGTGTGTGGGTTGTGGGTGTGTGTGTGGGTGTGTGGGTGTGTGGGTGTGGGTGCGGGTGTGTGGGTTTGTGGGTGTGTGGGTGGGTGTGTGTGTGGGTGGCTGGGCTGTGTTGGTGTGTGGGTGTGTGTGTGTGGGTGTGTGGGTGGGTGTGTGGGTGTGTGGGTGTGTGGGTATGTGGGTGTGGGTGTGTGTGTGTGTGGGTGCGGGTGTAGGTATGGGTGTGTGTGCGCGTGCGTGCGTGCATGCGTGCGTGTGTGTGTGTGTTGTGTATTGTGTGTTGTGTGTGTGTTGTGTTGTGTGCGGTGTGCGTGTGTGTTGTGTGTGTTGTATGTTGTGTGTTGTGTTTGTTGTGTGTGTTGTGTGTTGTGTGTGGTGTGTGTGTGTTGTGTGTTGGTCGTGTTGTGTATGTTGTGTGTATGTTGGGTTGTTTCATGTGTGCTGTGTGTGGTGTGTTTTTTCGTGAGTCTTGTATGGTGTGTGTTGTGTGTGGGTGGTGTGTGTGTTGAGTGTGTGTGTGTGGTGTGTCTGGTTTGTGTGTGGTGTGTGTGTGGTGTGTGGTGTGTGGTGTGTTGTGGTGTGTTGTGGTGTGTTGTGGTGTGTTGTGGTGTGTTGTGGTGTGTTGTGGTGTGGTGTGTGTGTGTGGGTGTGTGGGTGTGTGGGTGGGTGTGTGGGAGTGGGGTTGTGTGGGTGCGCGGGGGTGTGGGGGTGTAAGAGTGTAGGCTGGGTAGTCGAAGGCCAGACTGTCAGATTGGATTGGGCCCCAATGGCCAATCTGGCCTGGCCAAACTGGATGATTTGGGTTATTCGCCAGACTGGATTCGCGTTGGCTCCCTCGCCAGATTGCCCCCCGTTTGCCAGATTGGGCCTGCCAGATTGGCGCCAGATTGGCTTCGACTACCCAGGTAGGGGTGTTGGGGTGTGTGGGGGTGTAGGGGTGTGGCGGTGGGGGTGTGGGTGTGAGTGGGTGTAGGGGAATGGGTGTGAGTGTGGGTGGGGGGGCAGGGGAGGGGGGGTCGTGCGTGCGTGTGTGTTTGTGCGTGTGTGCGTGTGTTTGTTTGTATATCTCCCCCCCTGCATGTTGGCACAATTCGCTTAAAGGCAGCTCCGTTTTACTTCCTCGCCAGCGCAGTGACTCTGGCTAGCCGCCGACGATCAAGTGTGTTTGTATGTGTGCGTGTGTGCGTTTGTGCGCGTGTGTGTGTGTGTGTGCGTTGTGTGTGTGTCGAGCGCCGAGAGACGCATGACCCCCCACGTGCGAAGTATTGCTACCCAGCGCATTGAAGGAAGTCGGGCAACTGTTGTCTTTTGTGCTTGACAAAGTAGCTCGTAGTCCTGATGAACCCGCTGCTGCCGCCCTGCATCGCCAGTTGTTCGTGGCCTGGGGCCCCTGGGGGTCTCGACCTGTGCCCGCTTTTCATTATGAGTTGACTCCTCCCACAGGGCAGGTTGCTATCCAAAGCTGATGTCTTTGATATCCTCGGGTGGGGAAACGGCCCCCGGAGGCCCAAAGCGCAAACAAAGACGGCAGCCGCTCTGATTTGTTTGCGACGCCCGGATCTGAGCCTTCCTGGGATCGGGGCGCACGCAGCGACGGGGGGTCAGCCAATCGATCTGTCCTGGCTGGCCCAAGTTTGGAAGCCATGTGAAGCAGGACGCCCCCCTCCCCCCCCTCCGCTGACCCGGGCTTGGGAGGGCTTGGGAGGCTCGGGCCTGCGACATGAGATTGGTTTCCACCTCCTCCTGTGCTTGCTATGCCTTCGCTGGTTCCTGGGTCCTGAAGGCCGAAGGGCAAGTCGCTCGCAGCCTGCCTGCTTCGGCTGATTCCTCACTCCTGACGGCTGGAAAGAACGTCTGGCACCCTCGCCTCCTCCTCCCTCTCCTCCTCCTCTTCCTCCTCCTCCTCCTCCTTCTCCTGGGTTGGCGCCTCCCCGGCAGGACGAGCACTCTAAGAGGCGCTGCATCGTCCCAATTGGCGGCGGCCAGTTCCTCGCCAAGGTGCAGTGAGCCGAGCGGTGCCGTCGACGCTGCCGCTCGGCCCTGCTGGCCAGATGGGCGTCTCGTGCTGGTCCGCCTCGGTGGAGGGGAGGAGGAGGAGGAGGAGGAGGAGGAGGAGGAGGAGGAGGAGGAGGAGGAGGAGGAGGAGGAGGGAGGGGGAGTAGGATCGAGATTCGTTTGGGCATCCCAGATGGGGTCCGAGTATCAAGGAAGGAAAAGCCATCTGGACCCGATGATAATTGTTGACGCTTCGCGAATCCCCACCAGCCCATCCAGAAACGATGCCCAGAGGAATTGCCTCGATCAGGGAAGTGGGCAGCACACAGAGGAAGCCATTATGAGACATCTTGGGATATCTTGAGCCATCTTGGAGGTCATTGTGGGCTCTCCCAGGCGCTCTTGGAGTCATCGTAATCAGTGCCCCCCCCAAGAGGCCAACAAGTGGCTAAAACCATGTAAAATCAATGATTTGGCATTCTCGCCGAGGCCTCTTGGAGCATGTTGGGTGCCTCTGGGGGGCCTCTTGGGGGCCTCTTGGGGGTCTCTTGGGGGCCTCCTGGGGGCCTCTTGGGGGCTTCTTGGGGGCCTCTAGGGGCCATCTTGGGGCCATCTTGGGACCTCGTGGGGCCTCTCGGGCGCTTCTTGGGGTCATCTTCGAGGAGATCGATCACAGGAGGGGGGGGCACGGATTGAAGTCGCCCCCCCCAGGAGGCCAAAATGGGGCCAAAACCATAGGAAAATCAATGATGTTTGCGCTTCCTCGCCGAGGCCGTTTTGGACGCTCCGACGACTCGCGGAACCCCTTGTCCAGGTCCATGGGGTGGGGGTAGGGGGGAGGGGTCCCTCCCCGAAGGGGAAGAAGGAGGGGTGGAAGAGGAAACGCCCTAAATCACCGACGCCCAGAGGGCTGGTGGGATTGGCGTTTGCTAAACGGCCCTGGGCGTTTCCTGACAGCCCTGGCCTGTTCGATTACTGATTTGGGTACGTTTACTAAACGGCTTCGCGTGTCGGGGTGGTTATTGTTTGGGGGTGGATTTTTGTTGCCCTCTACAGATGGGGTCCGAGTAGATGGGGTCTGTGTAGGGTCGGCGGATCTCGCCGCATCGCGGATGCATCGGCGATGTGGCTCGACATGGAGCCCGAGTTTCTTCGACGTTGTTGATGCATCGCCGACGCTGCCGGTGTATCGACGTTGCATCGGCTATGCAGCGCGATCTTCTGGCCCCGCGCGACGTTGCGTGGTCTTCTGATCGGGGAAGGAGGAGATCCTTGGGCGACTTCCGCCTTTTCGAGGGGAGGGGGGAGGGGCCAGACGACGCTAGGACAGGGATGAATCCGTTCCAGAGCTTTCGGGAACGCTCTCAGAGCGTTCCTGACGGCTCTGAGAAGGCCGCGGCGCCCGAGACACCCTCCAGAGCCTCCGGATCTCAGAGATTCCTGATGTTGTCCTCGTCGTCTTAGCCGGCGGATTTAGCCTCCAGGGCCGCCTGAGTTATCCTCCAAAGCCGCCGGATTTATCCTCCTCCTTGTCGCCCTCCTCGCCCCCGAATTCAAGCCGCGAGGGCGCGGCTACGGACAGGGGCCTCCCCGCTCCCTGCCATCCTCGCCCTCAAGGCAAGGAGGGCCCAGAGGCGGGCGAGGAGGAGGGCGAGGAGGGCGCGAGAAGGGCGCCGAGGGCGTGGAGGGCGAGCTATCCTCACCCGATTTTCTCCTCGTCCTGGCTTCGTTTTCGGGAGGGGGGTGAGCAGGAGCCCCCGGCGCGCGCCGGCCCGCGGCGTGGCCGCCGGCGCGCGAGGCTGCTGCCCACTTCTGGCGCGCGCCGCGGCGGCGGCTCGCAGCGGCCGTCGCGTGCCGCGCGGCTGCCAAGAAGTCCGCGCGGAGCTCCGGGAACTTCTTGTTTGTGCTTGTGCGTGTTGTTTCCCAGCGGTCCCTGGGTCGGGTCCTCGTCTTGAACAGAGCAGTGGGGTGGTGCCGACTCCCTCCTCCTTCTCCTCCTGCGCCTCCTCCTCTGCTACTGCCACCACTACTACTACTACTACTACTACTACTACTACTACTACTACTACTACTACTACTACTACTACTACTACTACTCCTACTACTACTTACTGCTACTACTACTTACTGCTACTACTACTACTACTACTACTACTACTACTACTACTACTACTACTACTACTACTACTACTACTACTACTCCTGCTGCTGCTTCTACTACTACTACTACTACTACTACTACTACTACTACTACTACTACTACTACTACTACTACTACTACTACTACTACTACTACTACTACTACTACTACTACTACTACTACTACTACTACTACTACTACTACTACTACTACTACTACTACTACTACTACTACTACGACTACTACTACTACTACTACTACTACTACTACTACTACTACTACTACTACTACTACTACTACGACTACTACTACTACTACTACTACTACGACGACGACGACGACGACGACGACGACGACGACGACGACGACGACGACGACTACTACCACTACTGCTACAGCTACTGCTACTGCTACTGCCACTGCTACTGCTACCATATCGCCCCAGGCGTTTCGGATCACAAATATGGGCTAATTAGGATCTGGGCCTTCTCGAATTTTTCAAGTGGACGAACCAGGCCCCAACGGAGTGTTCCTTCTTCTCCTCCTCCCCCTCCCGCCCTCCTGTCCCCCTCTCGCCTGCCTGCGCCTGCCTGCACCTGTCTGCTGGGAGAGCAGGCCTTGTCCCCTCTCGCCTGCCTGCCCGTGCTTGTGCGTGTTTTTGTTCCCCCTCACCGAGTGGAAGCAAGGCGGGGCCGGGTCACGGCGCGAGCCCCGCGCCAGGTCGGAGCAGCGCCCTCTGGCTTCCGGGCGTTCGGCCGGGGCCAGGACGTCACCGCCCAGCATCCGACGACGGCGCCCGTGCACCACCACCGTGCCAGGCCAGGCCTCGGCCAGGAGGGCGCATGCACCATGCCATGGCCAGGATGGCCGACCTGCGCCCAGAGGGCCAGGGGAGGAGGAGGCGGAGGAGGAGGCGGAGGAGGAGGGGATGGAGGAGGAGGAGGAGGAGGAGGAGGAGGAGGAGGAGGAGGAGGAGGAGGAGGAGGAGGAGGAGGAGGAGGGAGGAGGAGGAGGAGGAGGAGGAGGAGGAGAGGAGGAGGAGAGGAGGGAGGACCCACGCCCCGCAAAGGACGGCCCGTTCTCACCCCCCCACGCGATCCACAACACCATGCCAGGGCGTATACACCTGACATTTGCGACGACCTGCAGGAGGCCGAAATTTCTGTCCGTGTCATCTTTTCCCCCTCTTGCATGATTGCCTTAAGCCGGGCCTGTCCCTCTACAGGAGAGCTATTCCCAAATAGCATTTGTTTTCAAGTCTGGGGACGATTTTTCTACTATGTGTGATTGATTATGTTTAAAGTATGTTTGACAAATTGTTCTTTTTCGTCCGAAATCCGCCTGTAGGAGGACATGCCCGACCTAACGATTGCCCTGGTTCGCCAGGCCATGGTGCCAAACTCCACTGGCGGCCCTGGGGCCTCCCCCGTCACAGCGACACCCCCTTGACCGCCTTGGTGCCGCCCCCCCGTCTCGGCGACCAATCCCAATCACTGTGGCACTGCCACGCCGCCGATGACGTGCAGCGGAGCCCCCACAGCGTTCTGCTCCGCCGCAGTTCTGGATCCGAGCGGCTTCCCTGTGTTGGATCTTTCCCGCCACGGCCCCCCCCCCCGCAACCGTGAGCCTTTCCCGTCGCGGTGACTTCCGTCAGGATGGCCTCCGTCACGGTGACCCATCCCGTCGAGCGGCCAATCCCGGCGGATGGTTCTCCCCGCCAACTTTTTGGAGAAGTTCTTTCTTGTGAGTATTTTCGTCACGATCCTGGGCTTTCGAGGGCAGTTTTCTCGAAACGCCTAACGTTTTCTTTAGGGCCGGGGCTCCTCTCGAAACTTCCTGGTCCAAAGGAATCCTTGAACATATAAACAAAAAACCAGACGAGCCTGGTCCCGAGCCCAGGAAAAACTTAGATAAAACTGCGCGAACATCGAAAAGCAGATGGTCCCGGGCTCAATACCCAGAACGATTCGGAGGGAGTCTGATTCAGGAGGGCGAGTTTGTGATTCAGCGGGCGGCGTGTGCGATTCTGCGCGCAATCTGCGATTCAACGTTCGATCTCTGATTCGGAAATTCGAAATTCGATTAATTTATTTATGTTTCGGGTGATAATATTGTCTTTGTTCTTTCCGGCATCCTCCCTGGGCATTATTCCCGGTGCGTTTGTTTCGGCATGAATCCTGTTCTCTATATCTTATGGTTTGCAATATTCAGGGCCCTCATTTGTGAAACGCACCAGATACGAAGATGGTTTGCATCGATGGCAGCACGGGAAATTCAGAAAAACAGTAGCAACGTAAATTAAAAACAGAGGCAGTGGGCTGTTATTAATTTCATTGGTTCTGTGTTCCCCGTTTCCGGAACCGCGCGGTATAATACAAAAACACGTTGCTTCCGACGCTAAGGAAATCCACCCTTCCGTTCACAAAGAATTCTGACACAAGACGACGATTCGGGCTATTGTAGAATAATTACGGTATGAACAGCCGTAGAGGCCATGTTTCGTAGTTGTCGAAGTCGGTATTGAACCATTCGATTCGATTATTGAAATTCTTGTTCGCAATTGTTGAAACCATAGTTCGCGATTATTGAAATTAATGGTCGTAGTTTTCGAAATTAGTGTTCGCAGTTATTGAAACCAACCTTCAATTATTGAACCCAGCGTTGGGCGATTCAACCCGCAGTCTCCCTCAAATGGGGCCCCCAAGGGGCTGGGAAGGCTGCTGATGGATTCGGTAATACGTTGCACCATTTGCCCGGGATCATTCAGAAGTTGCCCAACCGCGCCCAGCCTTGGCGACACAACATACGGTTCCCTATCGGTGTCCAGCTGGGGCGATAAAAAGGTTTGCATTTTGATTTGAAATAGCATGGGCCCCTTCTCCTGGGTCAAGGAAAAAGAAATACCAAAATTAGAACGTCCAAGATGGCTTGAGGGCTCCAAGAGAGTTTCGAAATCGCAAA